GTAACAGCGCAGCGAGGTCCAACTGCGCGAGTTTGTGGATCTTCACAATATTTCTTGAGAGCGTCGTGGGATGAGGCATCAAGCCGTATTGAGTAATAATCTAAATTCAGAATCATGCAAATGGGCTTTTAACATTATGCCAGAACTGACAAGCTGATCGAGGGTACTAACGTAGATAACGATAATATTACCCACTGGCATGGCTGGCATCGCGAAAATAAGTGCTTACCCGTTGTACAATTTCGCCACCAGTGCATAAATCCCACCGATATCCGTCATTTTTTTGTTGAGGTGGTCCTAGATTCAACGAGCACCGTCAAACTTGAAACTTAGTGGAATAGCTACGCAAAGATTTCCCCCCGCTTATACCGCTCAATGAGCAAGGGGAAGTTCACTTTGTGGCTTAATGTGCTCACTAAAGTATAATCAGTACTTAGTAGAGAGAATGAGTTTTCCGCGCTCAGGTAACCCCAACATATGATGGATCATTACCGGCAAAATTGCACTGGCTTCGTTAACGGTCAGACTGGTCATACGGGTATGCAGTAAGATTGTGTTGCACAACGCGCGTCTCGCCTGAAAATGAGACTCAGCTTTATTTAAATTCCAACTTATTCCGGTATCGATGTCGCATTTAAAGTTTTGCCGGTGTCGATGTCATTAAGCCCAAGTATATAATCGTGGCTGATTTTGGTACGAGCCTGTTATTTGGGCGGATGCTAGCCCTGATGTTGACGTTGCGCTTTGATTTTTGCAATATGAAGCATCAAGCGATGTTCCATTTGAACATCTGTATTTTGAAATTGGCTTGCAAAGCTGTTAAATGAGAAGACGACGAGTTACTTCGCCCAATGCTCGAATTAAGCCATAAATTCGTGGCACGATTACCAGGTTGCAGGACAAAGGAAATTTCACCATCGAATACACTGGTCGACTTAGATGCGGCTGATTACGCATCATCAGATTATACTCCTAAGGAGTCGTGATCCAGAACGTTTGAAATACTTAGGAGCAAATTTCGCGTACGCGATTTGCTATCAGACTGAGCAGCAAGCTCACACATGTAAGTGTCTGATGGATGTCTTACGGCGCTTCGAATAGAATCGGTATGTCCAGATCGACCAAAGCCATAACCACAACGTGATATTCGTCAGAAGCCCTCTGTAAATCGCTGTGACCGATGTAATTTCGACAAGTTAGTTGAGCTCATTGAGCTAGGTATAAACTATCTATATTTAAGCCGAGTGCATCGCTTGCTCACTTTCCTGCTCTGTGCTTAGAGGGCTGGGCGCGATATGTAAGCCTTTTGGGTATTCAAGCCTCCGAAATGCTCTCAATGATTATAAACAACAAAGCCATCACATTTAAAGAAGGCGATAGTGACTTGGCGAATCACTTTGACCACTTTTATCATAAAGCATACCGAACAGCGTAAATCAGTCGTGCCTTACTGCGCTTACCAATGTCAAGAAGAATTTCGAACAGCGCCTTCATCGATTCAAAAAAAAGACTGATACAGACGGCCGTCATTGACGCAAACGCGAACACACCCTGCTGTCACTCGGCGCTTTGACGGACGATACGGGGCCACAGTTGAAAATTCGTCAAGAGTACGATGACGTTTTCGGTTTGTGTCTGCTCCGGTGCAAACCTCAAGGTGGCGGTTGAGATTTTCTGTTTCAGACAGTGAACCCTTCTCACTACGAAAACGTACAACGACTTTAGATCACCGAGTGCAGACACAGAATGCCGTTTCATCCCAAAGAGATCTGTCAAAATCATGAACTCCTTCCATGCCGGACTGGTTAAAGTTGTAGGGGGCGCCCGGGTCAGCAGTCTGTCCTTCTCCAACAGCTCTAAGACCTTCTACGATGTCAACGCAACACTTTTCTCGTCCTCCTCACCTACCATATCGTCTGGTTGTGAACCGCCATCGTTCTCATCCTAGGCTGGGTCTGATAGCACTGGTAAGTCGTCCTCTTCATCAGCATTGTCAGCAGCGGCCCCAGGTCCTGTGAACCGATAGACCTGGCTAGTTCGGATACGGAAAACGTGGCGTCGACGTAGCGAAGAGCGGGCCGTTTGCGACGAGCAGTTGACGTCCCTGTTCTCTTTGACCGAGCTGTTTGCGGTCTCGTTGGTGGAGGCATGAAGATTTTTACTACAAGGGTTCCAGCGTTCGAGCTTGCATGGTCAGTGGGTCTCATGGGTATTGGCAAATTACCCAAACCCACAAGAATTCCGTTTCGGGAAACCACGACCCAACGCATGGGCTGGGTCGTGGGTCGACCCATGCAGCACCCTGACTAAAACACTTATAAGAATTTTGTGTGAGGTTGCTAGAGACATAAACAGCTCGTAAAACAAGCGTATCCTTGAAGGGTAGTTTTCATCATGCGACGAACGTTCTCCACCGGACATGTATGTGAGAATAGATTGTTAAGGAAAAGTCCACGTTAGTCAAGAGCCTTGAGATATTTCGCCAAAACATCTGCAGGTGCGGGACTCGATCAATTGGATTGTCACAGGCAAGCATTGCTGGCAAAAAATTGTCTGGAGGCAATTCTTCACTGGTTGCGGTGTCGCTGAATGTGGCAAAATGTGTTATCTTGCTTAGACATCTCGCAAAGACAGCGATACCAATATTATTGATTTACGGAACAGCGCCTTTGGTCGTAGATGTGAAGGGCTGAGAAAAACGTGATCTGCTTGTCGCATTCCAGAAAAGAGAGGCAGTTTGTTATAGAAAATAGTATAGTATATATTTTATATTAGTTTGAGATTTTTTTTAACGGATTTTTACGAATAGTGATCGGTCTTTTATTA